GGAGAAGAGCGAAGGACTTGCTAGAACAGATCCATAGCAAACAAGTTTTGACAAAGCCTCATATTTTGAGTCTCCTGGAGGATCCGAGATGTACTTTTCAGTCGCCTTATCGCGAGCTGCCATCATTGTCACAATGACCTGCTCGCTACAGGTCGTCTAATGTGACAAAAGTAGGAAAGGTGGCAGAACTTGTAAAGATTGCTAAAATAAAAGAAACTCGACAATTATTTGCTACAGGTTAGTGTAAAGATACGGCTAGGCTACCATCAGATTAGTAAAAAATTGAGTAGATTTTTTGGCACAGAACGTTACAATTGTCAAATATATGGGACTGTGTAAATGCATCAGTCTACCGGCTCGAAAGGCTTTACCACTTTCTCTTAGACAAACTATCTCTAATTTGGAACATCCCTGGCGGAAAGTAATGGCAGTACCCCAAGGAAGCGGTTTTTGCCTCCTTGCCTAATAAACTGAGCTAAACTGATACCCAAAGCTGCGAAAATTTGGCCACTCGTGCCATTTACTGCGTAACGTTAGGAGGAGATGAGTATGCGACGGCAGAACGCACGAATAAATGAACGGTAGATGCATCATGAAGAAGAAGGTTTTACTTACCCGATCGTGAGGAGTTTTCGTTCAAAATACTTAGTGGAGAACAACCTCTTGTAGCAATTAACATCTCGAGTGATAAAAGAAGTAATTTGTGTTTGCATAAACTGGGAAGGTGAAATCATAAAAGCCAGTGGGCAAGTGAGTATTACACACTCTGCAGTATATAACATGCTGACAAACGAATTGACTGAGTGACAGACTTGGGATGAGAAATGGCCTTTGCCTTGACACCTTCGTTAAGCAAACGAGCACATCTTCAACTCGCACTTCGATCCCATTAAGTAGGGCTGGGAATGTGAGCGAGGCAAATTCTACTTGCTAAACCACCAAGCCGAGTCAGTCAGTCAGCCAGGGGGTGTAATTAAGACGTCATAATTCAGAAGCTGTTAATAGTTGGACATTGACTGCAGAAATGAGAAACGATATTTACCCCAATAGCACCACCTCCATCACTGGTGTTGTGAAGGTAGAAATCAGGAAGGCTAAGCATCTTTACTAGCCAATCGGCTGTTACCACATCAAGTTCTGTGCTCACTGGGGAAGAAGCCTAACTAGGAAGAAGATCATTCAGTCTGCATTAGTATCGTTTGCAGCAAACAATAGGAAGGAAGATCAAAAAGTTCTCACACCCACAAATAGCTCAAATTTGGACAATGTTTTCCTAATAAACACACGTCTCAGTTTCATCGCCTGTCATTAAAAAGACTGTAGATGAATGCATTATTCGAACGCACATATTAGGCTTTTTTACAAATATATCAGCTGTTCTGCTTTTTTCTTATACACGATAGATAAATTATATTTCCTCAACTCAAAAATACTAAAAATTGTTGCTCTAATCCGAATAAACCTGGTAATAGATGTGCTTTGAGCATGGTTCAATGAAATCAAATGGACATAGTGGATGGGAAAAAACTGGCACATATGTGTGACGCTTGTGACATTAATATTGCAACGGCAACCTAGATTTTTCGCAAATGCTCATTATAACTCTACACATTCAAGGAGCATGCTTCTCCGTCTTAATCTTTTAAACGGATAAATTATAGCAAGGCAAAACCTGGGACTAGACTACATTAAAATGAACCAGGACCGCAATCTTTTGGATGAATATTGAAGTGTGTAGACTGCCATGTTTGTGGCAGTAAACCCCTCCTAAAATGGGAGGCCACTGGCTTCTCTATAATTGCAACCTCTTCTCCACACTTTAGTGAAATTGCCACAATTAAGTGCAGTCGTGAATGTTTATCATAAGGGCATTTGAATTAGTGCCCGAACCACTTCGCAATTTAACAGGAAGTTTTGGACGTCTATTATCACTTGCCACCAAAGTTTACACAAATTTTGGGTAAACAAACTGCTTCCATGCAATTTAAATGCTGTGCCCACAATCGCAAAGTATTGATTACTTAAAATGTCACTTTGGGGTCCTATGATCTGCACATAAATAAATCTTGTTATCTTTGGACTTAAATGATTCACCAATTCATGAAATGGATCTCTCAATGCACAGTGTTACGGTTTTGCAATTTCTCCAGTCAAGTTACGCAATCTCGTTTCATTGTTAAGCAGCATTCCTGACGCTTTGATCGCAAGAACCTGCTGACAATTTACTAGGATTTTGCGCTTTAACTGGGCTATGCTAAATAATGTTAGTAATTTTGGATGCATTTAAAAACAACTCACTAATGCAGCGGTTCTGCAGTTAACGGAGAATTAATAGCATGGTCTCGTTTCATGGGTGTTAAGGAAACAACGTCACCAGCAATCCCGTGTACATTTCCAAGGACAGATTTTCCAAACCGCACAGCGATGAATTATGTATCTGAAAGAAAACGCATTAAATTATTGAATGTCAAGACAAGTATCCCCAATCAACCACACTGGAAACCTACAGTAGAGGTATGATAAGATGAAGTAATTTGGCTCAGACCAATTCTGACAGAGGAAAAAGGCGAACATTGACCAAGTTTTGACTACCGAACGCATATATTTGATCGGACAAACTTGACTACTCCTTTGCATCAGTCTCACTTATTTATCTAGACAGGAAAATCAACCCATTCGATCACAATCTCTCCAGGTGAGTAGGCAAATTTAGACAAAGTGTTGATCATTTGTTGTGTCGCTTTCCTCTATCAATTTGGTATGATTAGAGTTCAACAAGATATTCGACATCAAATTAGCTCTGAATCCGTATAAGTAGATATAGCATTGATGACATGAACCTGCGGAGAGAAGGAAAGCTATTGAGGCTGAGCTTCATCCAAACAACGGATAGCATGATATCCTGAGAAGCAGACGCATTATAAGGTATGCTGCCCTGCGGATAGACTGAATTAAAAACAAGTAGACGGGGCATTATATCAGTTGATATCCAAATAGCCTGACGTAATGGAACGTCTAATTAGGCGGAAGACTTTCAATCCGTAGGGCAACATGCCCAATAATATACCTCCCTCTCAACTTGAAGTGATTTCAGTATATCTGCAGGCCTATGTCATCAATATTATACCTGCCTCCACGGATTCAGGTCTAAATAGTTGTTCAATATCTTGCTTAAGCCTAAGCATATCGATTTGACGGAGGTCAAGTGACGTAGCACATGACCCACTTATTTCGATTTCATGTACTCCTATGTACACTGATGTAGTGGCAAGTCTACTTATTTGGAATTCGGCCTCTCCCTATGGTAGCAGTATATCAGATGGTTGAATGAATGCCATCTGGTATTTGATTGAAGGTTTACTTAAGTAGAATTTAGCCTATTCGCATGTCCAGTTCATCAATTTGAAAACTTCTCGTGTAAGGAGATGGTCAAGTGAAGTAACTCAGCGGACATTTATATTGACTTTAAGCTGTTCGGATGTCAAATGATGTAGTAACAGGTCTACTTATATGGAATTCAGCCTACCCGTAGGGCAGCATAGATAATCAAATGCCCTATTCTCAGAAATTCTCCGTATCCTTTGGTAGAGGGAAGGTCCACCTAGACAGATTTTATTCTATCCACAGGTCTATTTCATTTAAATTATGCTTAATTATGCAGATTCTAGGGTAAGTTGATGTTGAATGTCCTGACGAAGCATAAGAGAATCGACTTTACGGAGGCCAATTTCACAACACCTCTACAATTTATATGGATTTCATGCTATGCGGATGTCAACTGATATAATGCCACTTCCATACGCAGGTCAATGTCATCAATATTATACCTACTTATGCCAATTCAAAGCTAATAACATGTCGAATAACGTGTTAAAATTTATGCATATCTAATCGATTTAGGTCAAGTGACGCAGCTCACGGGACATTTATGTGGAGGTCATGCTATACCGATGTCAAGTATTTAAATAACACTTCTACTTTTATGGAAGTTAGCCTACCTAGTGGGCAGCACACTTAAATATGTGACGCACGCGGTTGTCGAAAGGATCGAGAAAGAGAGAAGATGAAGGAAGTGCCGTTATCGAAGAAGGGGAGAGAGCTTTCCAAGGTGGCTGCCTCGCTATCTGCACTAACACTACCACCACCACCACATCCAGGTTTCATTTTCGCGAAACCGCTCGAAACACCCAAGGATGCGCGCAAAGCCACTGGTCTCACTTGACTCATTTTCGTGCTCTCTGACGATGGGGTCTAGTTAAGTGACTTCTCCCGTTTAACTTGCATATTAGACGCGTTTTTGTTGTGTGTGGGTTTGTAAAGCATCTTCCATTAAACAGTTTACTACGAATCAACAGACTGCCAGCTCTCATGCGGCGATGAATGACTACAAGTAGATGGATTCTACGCCAAACAGTAACACACTGGTTGTTTAACTCTTGGGTTCAGTAAAGGTCTACTTCGTGTCCTGGCCATCGTATCTTCACCGGGCGGGCTGGCCTCTGGCTCACGCCAGTAGCCCCAAGCCCTGCTGTATGTTGAATGTATCTATATTTTACCCCAGCATCACGTCTACCCTCGTCTCCAGAGGTGTCTGGGTACGGTAAAATTCGATACATAAACCGACAAGAGCCGCTGCTCTGACTTGAAATAACCAATATTCAAAGCCTAACAGACAAATTGAAATAAGTATTGTCATTTTTTACGTAATAATTCATAAGTATCATATGACAAAATGTCCTTGAAAAACAGGAAGATAAAGTGAAGCTGGGAAAAGCATCATAGAGCAAGCAAACTCAATCTGCTTGCCTAATTAGGACTCCTGCGCCTTCGGTACTGATCTACAACCAGTGAGATCTTCGACCAGGTGAAGCAGATTAACCAGACTGATCAGAAAGGACTGCGTGCTATAAACGGGACGGATGGAATGTTTGCAAGAATAGCCTCAAGGGAGGATAAGGAACAGGAGGAGGTAAAGAAGGGTCGAGGAACCATCCTCCCTAGAGCCGGAGCCCAGATCGCCTTTGGAAGATGCTGGATAGGGAGGATTCGCGGCCGGTAGGATCACACATGGGTACGACAGTGGCTAGATGCCCAATGGGACCGAAGCAGGGTAGGATGATAGCTGATCCTTGATGAAGGAGATAAGTAACAATATCTAATGCAAATTCAAAGATCGAATCAACTACTAATTACGCATCCAAGTCACATAACAGATACCACGGTACCAATAACGAAATGCATTTTTCTTCCCTTCTTAACACGTTTATATGCATTCAATGCCTTAGCTGTCCTGCATGAGCCCTATGTCGCAAATACGCAATGTGAATTCTTTTGAATTTAATGGTAGCTGGCAGCACTAAGTCATGTTGTGAACAGATTATTAAAGTTTAAAACAGTAAAGCAAACAGAGGTTAACATTGCTCAGGAATCATCTGCATTCAGTTCATCGTTAAATAGCTTTTAGGTCTTTTTGAAATAATCAATGATGGTTCACTTTTCTCCCACCCCTTGCCAACAAACGTATTTTGTAAAACTCAGTTTTCTAGGAGAATATTCCTCAACATGGTGCAACAGTGAAGGATATTTATGTTGGCCAAAAAGTGGGAGCAAACAGCAAGTGAAAAAAAACTCCGGATATGCAGCTTAACCATCAAGCAGGAGAATGAGAGGCGAAACAATCGCTGAACCATATCGTGACCGGCTTGCTATGAAATGCCCTTTCCAGCGGATCAATAATAGCATGCACTTTTTGATTCCAATTATGTATGTGTACACAGGACTTTAACGGACACGGCTGAAATGGATCAAGCTTTTTACCTAATACCCGATTTAAGCAATGGGGTCCTAAACAAGAATGGCGATTGTAAGACCTTACGACTCTGGACAACAAATATGCCTCGGCCCAATGGCACGAGAGTGGAAAATAAAATTTGGTAAGGAAACAATTCAGGCAAGAAATAGTGTTTGCTGTGCCGTGAATTTCTAATTTGAATACGTTTGTCAAGCACTGCAAGTGTGGCAGCACATTCCCTTTTCACAATAAGAAAAAAGTGCCTCTCGATTAGCAGTGCAAGAAAATTGACAGAATAGCTAGCATCAACGACTAATTTCAAATAAATTTGCCATTTTGCTGTAGCCTGAAAGAACATTAAGGCATACGCAAAGTAGGTGCACTGATATCCCAGAAAAACTAAATACAAAATAACTACTATGAATGGAATCGAGCTGTGATGTTAAATGTCCAAACTTACGGGAAATTGAAGTGCACAAAGGTCTAACAAATTAAAAGAGCAAACACGAATAGAAATTTATTTCAATGGCTTTTTTACCGATCACTCAAATTTGCAGTAAAACCCATCCCCATCGAAGGTTTTGCGACTGCATTGATGTAGATCTCTTTCGTTAATGAAAATGGTATCACTGCGTTGCGGAGGAAGAGGACTGTGCAAAACCATAAGTGTATATTAACCAAAAGTCCTACAAACAGTTCAAAAGTGGTTAGTACCAGCCTAACATCCCACCTAATTGCTAAGAGTTTTTTGGGTTTGTCCACACTCTGCTCCTGGATTAATCATCAGTCTTCCAGTGATTTCAGTCAATGTAGGCACTTTTACCCCAATTTGAAGGATGAAATCAGTCATAAAAGGAACCCGCGCTTCAACAATGAGAATATTTGCGCTGTGGTTCAATTTTAAGGCAACCTGGTCAGGGCGATTTCGATTTCCGGCAGACAAAGAACACGCGCACTGATGGAAAATCAAAATCGCAAACACGATGCCACACTAAGGTAAGCGCCTGCAAATGTTATTTTAGCAATTCCTTAAAATGCAACCATTCCTATTCAGCGAGCATTGTGGAGTCGATTGAAGCTAATCAAACAAATGACCTCATATTATCCACTTGTGCTTTTGCTTAAAAAACAAATTGCAGGCGATTAAGCAGGAAACATTGCAGCAGGAAAGGCGATCAAATCTAGTGATACAGTTTCAGAGAGCCATCCCAATGAGACAGTCTATTACTAAAAGGGA